TAAGTAGTAGGAGTAGTATATAAATATATTTTATTGAAATTGTGGATGCTGGATGACAGACTGGGCAGACTGAATGTGTGGAGACTCAGACAACAGCTGCAAATATAGGAAGGAAAGACAAGATTCCCATGCAGACTGTCTGGCAAATGGCCTCCCCCTTTTGTACCCACCACTACCTCTTTCCCACACGCATCTACATTCAGCTCACCAACACCACGGATCAGCTAAGGTTGAGGAGGTTGCGATGCTGTCATACTGGCAATCACTGAAGTGAAATCCAAGAGGCTCATTCAGTGAGTCCAGTTTGGAGCTGCTGTTTGAGAACTTGTTTCTAGTGCCATTATTTTTAAACTATCGATATAAGAATATAGAACATGCATAGGCCCTTCCGGTTTCCTTCCAACAGATATAATCAACAGCAATCTGATCTGGAATATTCTGAGAGCACAGCAAATCAGAAACAAAGTGCTTAGCTTAGCATAAACTATCAATACAAGAATATAGAAGATTTATTAAATGTGTCCAGTGGTTGTTCTTTTAACAATAATTAGATATTACAGCCTTTTATTAAAAGCAGCAAGTCTTTTGAGGCAGAGCTTTACTATGATGACAGTGTAGCTAGAAACATACGTTGTGTTGTTACCACCTCTCATTTGCTCTGAAATGGCTGTAACAGGCTGTTGCTATGCAGACCAGCGAACACTTAATGTACTCACCGCTCACACTGGCAAACTCTAGAAATTGTATGCAGCACAGTGGAGAACAACATTCAGTTATTACTATTTAATATGTTTGAATATTTGAACTATTTATTTTAAAATTTTAAATTAAATTATAATCTCAGTTAATTAAAGCACATTCTCTTGTGCCTTATTAAGCATGCTGCTGTGCTGTCTGGTCATGTATAAAAGCTCCAGAAGGAGGCAGGTCACCCTTTGTAAACTTTCCACAATGTGGCTTGAAGGACGACCTGCTGGGTGTTGCTCTTATGAACTCAACGTCTTCTGTTCTGTTGGACAATTCAGTTGTGTTGTTTGTCACATCATATGTCTTGCCTTTAATGCTGATTACACAGGCAAAACTGAACACTGCTTCATTTCCAGACTTAGGGGAAAGTTTGCGAATTACTGTCAGTGATGCAAAATTTCTCCACAATTTCTAACATAGTGGGGTATTTATAGTTACAGATGTAAATATTTGAAAGCTGGTTGAAGGTTATATACGTTTGGAAGTTTATATGTGTGTTAAATATTAGAATGTTAGCTCAATATAAAGACCAGTGTTTCAATGAGAGTGGTAGATTTATGCTAAAATTTTCAAACTTGTTTGACTAGATTATTTATGTAAAAAACACTTTTATGGCCTGCTTAATAAGTCCCATTACAGGCCAGCCACAATCATGCTGCAATGGACTGGAGCTGCTTATAGCCTTTAAGGCAGGGTTGTCAAACTCAATCGCACAGGGGGCCAAAACTCAAAGCACACTTTAGGTCGCGGGCCGAACAGTATAAAAATTTATTGAACAAACTAAAACTAAACGTTTTTTTTTTTTAATAAATATGAATCGAAACAGACAGGATACAATATTATTCCAAAATAAATAAACTTGAACTTAAAATCACCAACCCTATTTCTGCTAAGGCTTACATTTACAAACACCTGCTTTTTGTCTGGACACCAGACGTCCCACACTTTCATCATGCAGCTCTTCAGAAACTCTCCCTCGGTAAATGTCCGGGCTGATTTTCTCCTCTGTCCCAATAAAACTTCTTTCACAGCAGCTTCACTGTGTGATTTCACTTTGGTGAAAACGTCTGCTGTGATGTCAGATTCCTCTTCAACTCCTCTACCTTCTGTAGCTTCTGCTCTGCATTCACGTTTTTCAGCTTGTCCTGATGTTTTGTCTCGTAGTGCCGTCTTAGGTTATATTCCTTAATTACAGCCACATTAGCTCCACAAATAAGACACACAGGTTTA